TGTTTGTGCACTTGCTCATAGTCCGTGTCGACGGGACGTTATGTGATAACGAGACCGACATATCAGCCATTGCCTAAATAGGTCAGCTGGAGGTTATATGTGAGTGACACATGGTTGCGTTTCACCACTCAGGCAGAGGAATGTCCCAGCGTTGCCCTCCGCCGCCTCATGTTAGCTCCTTGCTTTCTAGGCAACTCCTGCTTGCCGATCTGTGAAGAGTGCTGTTGCCGTTTTGGTATTTCTGCATGCCGGAGGATGTTTTCATCCTTGTTTAGCTCAGAGTAACATACAATCTAATCCTTCCATGCCCACTTTCAGGGGAAACCTCCCTTTGCCAGCATAAAAATGACATGAAGGGGTTGAGGGGGTTGGTGCCCTTTTTTCCAGATGTTTAGAAACACACAGCAAGTCTGACTGCCTCTGAATAATAAGCGTGGAGTCTGGACTGTAATGTCCACCTGAGGCCCGCTGGAGATGACTGACCACAGACTTGCTCGTCCCGCTAGTGGAGAAGCCCTTTCTGGCCATGGGGTCGGAGAGCATTCCACTTGGCTCTGACACCTGACCACAATGGAGACGTCTTCTCTTTCATCTGCCTCTACTCAGTCCTACACCTGCGGGGTGGGTGGGGGTCATGTTTCTTTTACATGGTGAGGACCAAATGTCTCCAAAATGTGACTGAAACCTGTTATTTTGACATGGTGTGGATCATTTTGTCGGTCCCCACTAGGAAGCTCAATTTAATAAAAATCTATGATTGCAATCAAAACAGTAATAATGCCAAAAGTTTGGTATTTGATTATTTATGGTGAAAGGGGCAATTCACCCCAAAATTAGAAAAAATCTATGTTTTAGAGGGGCTTTAGTGCTATCCATCTAGGTTGTTCTGTTGGGAGTTGCCTAGTTTTGGAAATATCAGTTGTAGAAATGTCAGGTTTGTCTAAAATTATAATAGTCGTGAAAGACATTGTTTCTGTAGTGATTAAAACACCAGAAAAATACATTTGAAAAATTCAGCAGCAAGAATGCCATTCACTCCCATTCTGTTTTAGAGAAGCCTGACATTTCTACAGCTGATATGTTCAAAACTAGGCAAGTCCCAGCAGAACAACCTAGATGAATATAAGGCACTAAAGCCCATATCTTTTTCAGTTTTGGGATGAACTGCCTTTTTAAGGTTAGGGCTGGGTAGGGGTTAAAATTGTCATTGTTGGGATTAGGGTTTTTCCCATAGAAATGTCCCCCCAAAGATATGAATCCAAACGTGTCTGTGTCTGTCTGAGATTCCTAGTCACTTTCCAGTCTGTTGGCTGGTGCTGAGTATGGGGGGGGGGGGAGTTTAGTAGTCTCACAGCCTGGTGGATGAAGCTGTTGCTGAGTCTGGTACTGCGGGAGCGGAGGCTCCTATACCTCCTTCCAGAGGGCAGGAGGCTGAACAGATTGTGTGCAGGGTGGTTTGCGTCGCTCACAATTGTGATGGCTTTGCGGGTGAGGCGGGTGGTGTATATATCTTTCAGGGAGGGAAGTGGTGCACCAACGATCCTCTCAGCTGTGCTCACAATGCGCTGTAGGGCTTTCCTGCTGTATTCAGTGCAGCTCCCACCCCACACAGTGATGCAGCTGGAAAGGATGTTCTCAATGGTTCCCCTGTAGAAGAAGGTCATGATGGGTGGTGGAGCTCTTGCCTGCTTGAGTTTGCGCAGGAAGTAGACGCGCTGCTGGGCTTTCTTTGCCAGTGTTGCAGTGCTGGTGGTCCAGGAGAGGTCTCCCCCAGGAATTTGGTGGTGCTCCTCACTCTCTCCACAGCAGCACCGTCGATGGTCAGTGGCAGATGTTGGGTGTGATCTCTCTGGAAGTTGACAACAAACTCCTTAGTCTTGCTGACATTCAGCAGGAGGTTGTTGTTCTTGCATCACATGGTCAGAAGGTCAACCTCTTTCCTGTAGCGAGTCTCATCGCCCTTGGTGATGAGCCCCACCAGAGCTGTGTCGTCCGCAAACTTCACAAGAAGTTGTAGGTTGGTGTGCAGTCGTGTGTCAGCTGGGTGAAGAGCAGAGGACTGAGCACACAGCCTTGTGGGACCCCCGTGCTCAGAGTGATGCTGCTCGAGGTGTTGTTTCCGACACGTACTGCTTGTGACCTTTGGCTGAGAAAGTCTAGCAGCCAGTTGCAGAGGGAGGTGCTGAGACCCAGTTTGTCAAGTTTGCAGATGAGTTGTTGTGGTATTATGGTGTTGAATGCTGAGCTGAAATCTAAGAACAGCATTCTCACATATGAGTCTTTTCTGTCCAGGTGAGTGAGAGCTGTGTGGAGGACAGAGCAGATTGCATCCTCTGTGGATCATTTAGATCTGTAAGCGAACTGGAAGGGGTCCAGGGTGGGGGGGAGGATGGATTTGATGTGTGACATGACTAGCCGTTCGATGCACTTCATGATGATGGGCGTCAGTGCCACAGGACGGTAGTCGTTGAAGCAGGATGGTGATGATTTCTTTGGCGACTTTGAAGCATGATTTGTACGAACGAAGACAGAAAACTGCTCAGATTTATCAAACCTGGCGTATGGACCTGTGTCTGCAAGTTCCCCGTTATAGATGTAAATGTGCATACAAACATATGGCTGAGATCCTGCCCAGCTGTCACCCTCAAATAACCATAAATGGTCAATGCAAATGAGCTGTCTGCTCAGATAATATATTAAGGCAAATCAAGCCTTTCTGGTTGCAAAGTCTGACTATAGCGACAGTAAATTTAAAAAAGAAAAAAATTATTTTGAACAGTGTAGAGGCAAGGTAGAGGCAAGACGTGTTATTGGCCTATAGCTGGGGGCCTAAGCACGTTTATCACAAGAAAACATATGTTTTATAATTAGTATGCATGTATTCATTGTACAGCTGTTTCTAGCACTTTTGCACTATTTTGCACTTTTGGATTAGATGCCGAATCGCATTTCATTGTCTGAGTACTTGTATTTTGTGCAGTGATAAGCTGAATGTAAAGCAGTGTGTGGAATGGCAACACAGCACCACTGCAGTACAGTCCGTCTGCTATACGGAACACACTATGCCCGAAATAAAATAAAAAAAGAACTGAAAATAGAGGGATGGAAACAACTTTTTGCACACAGGATAATAATGATGAATAACTGTCGAGAGCTAACCTGAATCTTTGCCCTTAAACTTCTACATACATGAGGCATCTGTAATATGGGATGTTCTATCATGCTGTGTTGGGCCGAAGTAGTCGGGAGATGCTGATGTGGTACGTGAGACTCAAAACAGATCATGAATTAACCCAGGCCATGGACTTGTACATTAATAAAATGTATCTGCTTTTGACTGACAATAGCAGCTTCATTAGTACTCATGTTGTGTTCACCTCTACCTGAATTTCCAAAAATGATGCATTTTTTCCCAGTTAAGTTTTGTTTAATAAATTTGGAATAAAATGTTGTATATGCACATTCCAGGCATCGTTTTGTGTGGACACAACTTTGATATATGAGGCCCTGGGTTCCTGAACTGCGGTGGGAAAGCAACTCATGGTGGTTCCCCTTTCCACTCACTGCAGCAGATTAGAACCCTGCTTCAGAGGACCAATGTGCTGTGTGCGGCTGTAGGGGCATTGGACTGCTGCTCTGACAAGTCATTTGCGTATTAGCCTTAGGATGAGGTGTTACAATGCATGTACTCTGTCTTCTCTTTCTCTACTAATTTGCTTAGTAGTGGGGACTCCATAAGAATATCATTTTACTATGAAAAGACTGTGAACCTTAGCTTAAGTACAGAACTGCCAGCCACCCACCTTTGAACAGAAATAAAACACTGAGCGATGAGATGCACAATATATCGGTATCAACCAATATTTGTTAAAAATCAAGATATCTGTATTTTTCCGATGTGTCAATCTTGGCTGATATTGCTGGGCAATATTTAAACTTACTATTCAAAGGTAGCAGCACCAGAGCTGAAGACAAAACTACTAAAATAATGAGATGATTGCCCGTTTTCCAAAATGGACGACAAGGGATTTTGTCAAGTCATTCGTCACTTTGAAGCAGGGTTGTGACTTTCAATCTGAAGAAATAAGGGACGTCACCCCCCCCCACCCCCCACTCTCCTGGGTTCCTGATGATACCATTTGCCAAGGAGGGGAGATCATATGGTTAGAAAATAAAGACAGATTGCGTCCAGTATTGGCTCAAAACAAAATGCAGCATTTAAGATGATCCCATATAAAACAGAATGGGTGGCAGCTGTACTTAAGTCATCTCAGAGTACCAGCCTGTGAGGCAGTTTTATATGGCCTGTGGCATATTTTTAATTTATTATTAAATCTGGCCGGCAGATCGATCTTTCATTTTTTCCCCAGAATGAAACAATGTTTCACCACCAGCAATAATGAGAAAAGATTTGGGGGGGGGGGGGGGTCACTATAGTGGAACACAAACAAAATGAACCCCCAGCTAGATGTTAGAGCTTGGGGCTTTACGGTGATTTATACTAAGCATCTAGGACAGGGGTGGCCAATCTTATCCAGAAAGGGCCGTTGGATATGCAGGTTTTCGCTGCAACTCCCTAATTAGATTACTAATTAGAGGACTGATTGGCTGAAGAGTCCTCACACCTGGGCTTGAACAGCTGACCTACAGGTTATCCCAAAAACCCGCATACACACCGGCCCTTTGCGGGTGATTGGCCACCCCTGATCTAGGGTATTATGACCATAAATACTCATCTCTGTACCTGCCTCTTGCATTTCTGCTATGAAGTACAATGCTGCACTTACTACAGGTAGGTCTGCTCACTGTCGGTGGGATGGTGACCCACATTTCTCAGGTGTGTGTTCAGCCAGTAGTGACCTCGTGTATGTATACGTGCTGTATGTGGAATGGAGCAGTGTGTCTGTTCAAGAAGGTGCCTCGTCTAGACTTGAGCTAGCAGCTGTGGTGGATGCTCATCAGAAGGCTCTGCTTTTGACTGATGTTTGTTTCCTTGACAGTGAAACGCTTCAGGGAACCCAAGCATGAGCGAAGACCGTGGAGGATCTGGTAAAGCATTGGTGCTCCTCTATCACTTTTAGCTCCATACATTCTTTCTGGCCTGCAGGAGCTGCTCTGTGACAGCTGGAAATCACTGTCCTCTGCTGTACCGTTTTTTTTTATTACATGTGCAGCAAGGATCAGTAAGATGTGCTGTGTTCCTCATTTTATGTAGAAATAGAAACCCAAAGCCCCTTCTCAGATCAGCCTATCTGCTGCAGATGCAGATACCCATTCACAGCAGGAACTGCATTGTCACTGTCACCTTCAACACCAAACCAAAGCCAGCCATTTCCTTACGCTGCGGTGTGACACCCCATTTTCTCTCGCTGCCCAGGTTCCTGGATACCTCCAAGCAGGCCATCGGAATGCTGTTCATCCACTTTGCTAACGTGTACCTGTCCGACCTCACCGAGGAGGACCCCTGCTCACTGTGAGTGTCTGCCTGTCTGTCCCCTCCTCTCCTGCATGTTTCTGTCTCTGCTTTTCATTTCTATGCTGCTCCAAAACACTCTTCATTACCCCAGATGTTTCCAGTCACAGTTGCAATGAGTGACATAGACCTTTGATGAACAGTATGTCTGTCAGGACACAGCAGGATTCAGTCACTAAATGGGTTCCTGGTCTGTTTGCAGTCAGTTGTGTGTGTTTAACACTCCATTGTAGTTCATACTGCAGTTCCAAAATTAAAACCACTTACCCAGAATGCATCACAGTGAGCCTGTATCCAGAGCGCGAGGATGAAACGTAGACCCAACAAAGACTGTAGTCCTGTATCAGACAAACTCATTTATCATATGGATCAGTTATTTTGTGAGTTATATTTAGTTTTTACTTAGTGAAGTTGTCCCCTAAACAATGTTAGTCATATTTTAAATGATGAAATCTTTATTATTCTGAAATATATTTTTAAATTGTCACATCCTTTAATAATGTGAGTTTGCACGTGTGCCTATTGCGATATTAAGATATACACCAATCCCAGCCCTGCTGCCGGGGTAACCCCCCCCCCCTCCTTCTGACGCACTCCACAGCCTGGGAGTGTAGGGCAAGGTATGCCCTGCTCAGGTTACAGTCCATCAGAGGACACACACACACACACACACACACTAAAGTCTACCAATTTAACTCTCATATCTTTGCAGTATATATGAGTTTCTCCCCATTCTTCGGACCTGACATAATGACAGTCACACACTCACTCAGGCCGCAGTGCTGGCTGCTCATGTCCACCTCGCCGCCCCTTTCTCATCATTTCATTCACCTGATTGGTTTCACAGTGTTTGTAGATCAGCATCTGCCCGGCTTTGGTCCTGCAGGTACCTCATCAACTTCCTGCTGGATGCATCCCTGGGCATGCTGCTGATCTACGGCGGCGTGCGGGCGGTCAGCGTGCTGGTGGAGTGGCGGCAGTGGGACTCGCTGCGATTCGGGGAGTACGGTGAGGCTCACGGGGCCAGGGGCCAGGGGCCGGGGAGGGTGGGTCATCCCCTGGGACGCACGTAACTGGTACTCAAGTACGCATTCACCTTTAAAAGCGATACGTGCGGCAATGGATTGATGTAACAGCGCGAATACGTACGTATTTTATATGCATATGACAAGAAATTACCGTGAATTTTAACCTTTATACTGCAAATGAAGTAAGAATCAGCATATAGTTATACTCATACATAGCAGTGTGCATCCCTGGTCATTCCGGAAGGTGTCAGGATAAGTCAGGATCAAAGCTAAAACCCAGCATTTGTAAAACAAAGTAATAAAAAAGTACATTTTTAAAACATATCGGGATCATATGATGACCAATTGTAAAGATGCAGAGTTTAAAAAAAAAAAAAATGTAATATACCCCAACATTTTAGGTGGCTTTCTCCAATACTATATGTGTCCACTAGGTGGCACCAATGCATTCTCAGTGTGTGTAGGGGATACTTTTTGGCGGTGTTGGGTCCTGTTCTGCAGTCGAACTAAAAAATGCAGTCATTGTGAAATCTGGAGTAGTGGTGCTCTGCCATTTTCTCACTGAAAGGGTCACAAAATGTGACAGGTCCTACAATGCATGAAACGGTTCACTGCGCACTTATCGTAGATCTCCATAGAGTCAGAATTTCCTCAGCAAATTGGTCATTAACGTTTGAAGAGATTTATATTATGATACTGAATATGAATAATTAGGTTTCAATTTCAGAGAGATCAGCTTTAATTACTATGTGGTGTAAAATGTGAGGAATCTTCCATCGCAGTGGTAAATCAACATTCACTGATGAATAGGTTGGTGTCCTTGCATCTACTCAGTTTGACACAGTGTTATATTTAAGGTAGCTAAAAGAGCCAAATTTCTTTGTGTCAAATAACATGAAGTTGCAAACAAATCTTACGGTTTAACGTTAATAGGACAGCCGTGCAAGGCTTCCTCTTTTTCCTCCTCTGCTTGGGAGCAATCCTGAGAATGCTATGAGAATATTAAATATGAATTTGTATCAAACGTGCGCGTCAGCCTTGCTCAGTATCCACGGCCGTCTGTGTTCACGCCCACAGGTGAACCGGCTCAGTGCTCCGCATGGGTGGGCCAGTGTGCCCTCTACATCATCATCATGATGTTTGAGAAGGTCCTCATCATCCTGGTGTTGCTGATGCCTCAATGGAAGCAGGTGAGAGAGGCCGCCATGGCCCGAGAGTCCCCCCCCTGTCTGGCTGTGGGGGAGGGCGAGCCACGGCATCAGTCAGCTTGGCTCTCAGTTCTTGCACATTATTTAGTATGACCCCCACGTTAACGATATGCAGTAATTTTGTGTTTTTCACATATCCCGTTGTCTAATCAGTCTGCATGTGGGTCTTTGTCCCTTGGTGTGGTCGTCCTGTGTGTGGGTGCGCATATTCCAGCTAACCCTTCTGAACCCAATACGTAACCCGGAGCTGGAGCTGGCCATCGTCATGCTCATCGTGCCCTTCTTCGTAAACGTGAGTACCTTAGCTGCCGCCAGTGTCATGGGCACTTCGTGGTGGTCTGCACTTCTTGGTGGTCTGCATTTTAATGTATTTAAATGGAGATACAGGATCAAGTCACAAACATAGTAAGAATAAGGGGAACTGTACTGTATAGCTGGTAGCACCATCTCCTCGTGCTTTTAGGGCTGCAGGTTCGAACCCCAGTGGCCTGACTGAGCCTATACTTTTTTTTTCTCCAAGCATAGCCTTGGAGACTGTAATTCTGAACACAGATGCTGAAGATTTTGAAAGGTGGATTATGCATTTCATACTTTGTTGTCCTAACGAGGGTGTGTCCCTCATGTGTCCCTTATTCATTCTCCTCATAAGTTGTGTATCTTTGGTTACGTTCGAGCAGAAGCTTCTGTGTCAGCTTTGTGTTTTGCCTTCAGGCCCTTATGTTTTGGGTGGTGGACAACTTCCTGATGAAGAAGAGCAGGACAAAAGCCAAGCTGGAGGAGAGGGGGAGCGGAGACGACTCGCGCGGCAGCAGCAAGGTGCGCTATAGGAGGGCGCTCTCCCATGAGGAGTCGGAGTCAGAGGTGAGGCCCCGGGCTGTATGACTTCCTAGGAGGTCACTGCTTCCACAGTAACCCTGGGGCTGCAGTCACCAGGCTGATCTGCCAAGATGTCCAACTTTACGAGACCAAGCTTCGGCATATTGTGTGGTGAATGTAAGATGCTCATGGAAGTTTTACTTACACAAAAATGTTCTGAGGGCAGAATGAAAAAATGATTGGTTCAGAAAGATAACCAATCAGATTGTAGAAGAAGTGGGTCAAAGCAACTAGAGGAGGCAGGACCAAGACATCTGATTGGTTGGTCCCACGTCCTCTACTTGCTTTGACCCAGTTGTTCTACAATATGATTGGTCATCTCTGTGAACCAATCATTTCTGTTTTGCCTTCAGAACATTTTTGTGTGTATAAAACTCCCATGAGCAGGTTGGATGGAGAGTGACTGATGCCTCCTTGACCCGGCCCTCAGATCCTGATCTCAGCTGACGATGAGATGGACGACTCGGATGTGGAAGAGGACACGCGGCGGCTGACCAACCTCAAGCCAGTCAAGAAGAAGAAGCACCGTTTAGGGCTTCCTGTCTGAGCCCTGCTGGCTGCTCCCAGACTTCCCCTTGACTCCCAAACTTGGTGGAAACCGTAGCCTTTTAAAATACAAACTTATTCCTCTAACAGATCGTCCCGAGGAGGTTGTGTTGAGGACTGCTGATGATCAGCACTCCTCGTTCTCCAGCTGCTAAAACGGAGCTGAAACAGGACATGCCATCAGTGCAGTGAAAACGTAGAAGCGGAGAAGATAAGGACCATTCAGAATGTGCTGTTACTCTGAAGCTCGCTGGTGTCTGAGCGGGGCACTACATTTGCCTTAATGTCGAGTGTTCTTATAGAATTTGTAAACTAACTCCTGTGACTGTTTTGAGTGATTGCTTTTGGCGTGTCCCCCTGAGTTTTCCTGGGTCTGGGGTCTTTCAAAGAGCCTGTGTATTAGACTGTGACAAGACTGTAGTTAAAAGGGAAAGGGGGTGATTAAAACTTCCCTGAAATCCTTGCACTTTTCCTTAATCTTAGAGAGAGTATAAAAGTCTGACATTCTGCTTTTTCCCATCCAAAGGGAGCCCCCACAGCCATCATGCACGGGTATTTATTTGCTCACTCTGACATTTGATCCCTTATGTTGTTGTTTTTTTTTTTTTTTCTTTTGCATCCTGGGTGTGTTTCATTCTAAGTCATGCGCTGAGGAAATGGTATATCCCTTACTCATCCTTTTAGAGTAACTGATCCACGTGTCAACAATGTAGCAGAGTCAGTAACTCATGAATATGAACAGTCTCATCAGTAGGATACTCTAGGTCTGGTTTCATTTCCCAGCAGACAGGCTCTAATAGAGCCTAGACACTAAAATGGAAATGGCCAGGTGACACGGTGGAGAAGCTCGCACCAGATAAAATGCAGTGATTTTTTTTTTTATATATATATATATTTTTTAAGATAGGTCATCTAACGCCCAAAACTGCAAAGGTCATGTATGGATTTGCTGGCTGTTTACTTCTTGGACTTGCAGGGGTAGTCTGGCTGAGGGTCAGTGTCAGCTAGGGGTCAGAGGTCATGGTGGACTACTGTCCGCTCAGCACGGCTGGAGAGTGGCCGTGCAGCTGCTTTCCTGTAGACAGGCCCCGCCCTTCCTTCGTCTGATTGCTGTTGAATGTCGGTGTCACCCTGAGTAGAGCTTGTGGTGCTTTTTGTGTCGTCTCGTTTTGTTATATTTGCCAAACTGTGAGAGATTCCGAGGCTTGCACCCTCTGGCCCAGAAAACTTCCAGTTCCAGTTCTTACCTCCAGCAGAGGGCGATCATGACCCAAATGTGATACTGTCTCCTTTTGCACCCCCACCCCCAACAGCTGGATGCCCATGTGTCAGGGTGACTTGCGCTTTGCAGGAGTGTGTGTGTGCACTGCCCTTTTTGTGGGGCGTTTGCACAGGCTGCATGGGTTTAATCCTGCTGCCTTAATTGGCGTTTAAACACATATTCAAAGAGGTGAGGTCATTTACAGGCCCGTCTTAATGGGGTATAAATCCAGGTGGCCAAAGGGAGGAAAAGCTCAGGCAAGACTAATGCATGTCACTGTAGTGATGTCACCCCGCAGGGATCCGCTGTGTCAGAAATGGCACCGAGGTCTTGCTCTCATTGGCTGTGCCGCTTTTGGGGGCGGATATAGCTGATGGTATTAGTTTGACACGTTCTGTGCAGAAGAATATTCTCTGCATGAGTGGTGAGCAGGGGCAGGTATGTGTGTATCCACTGGTAACGTGTGTATCCACTGGTAACATGTGTATCCACACAGTCATGCGAAGTGTGGCAGGATGAGTGGACATGGGGCCTGTTTGGGATTGTTTTGTCCCATTCCCTTTAACGGGACATCATATCTAAAAACACTAACACACCATCCAGACCTGTTCTTCCTTTGTTGTGGTTAAACTGTATTAAAGGGACCATGTTTCTTACGTCATCCATGTTAACCTTAAGGACTGTACTCAATGAGAGCAAGGTCTGCTGCAGGTCAGATCAAAGGACCAAAAGGGTTTTGTGGGGATCATCATGATTTCAAAAAATTGGACTCATGTACTTGCAAACCAATTTACAATAAAGTTTCTATAACATTGAATCATCTAGCAATATGCTGTGAAATCCGTGGCATTTTTTCAGTTATCAGTCTGTAAAACGAGGTTCTGCTTTGTGTTTTTCCCATTTCATTTTTGTTTCTCTTGTATGAGTATATTTGGGCGCTACATCCTGACATTAACCATTAATACTACAGCCGCATTTTAACCCTTTCGTCTTTCTGTAATGGAAACACAAATGAATCTAAACTGGTTTGTTCTCAGTCAGCCTTATTCTTGTTGGCCATGATAATGGAAAAATAGCATTAATGAATGACGTAGCCTTGACCTATAAAATAAATGTTCCGTTACATCTATTTGCATGTGTTTATGTGCTGATAACTCCCCAGGGCATGTTACTAGAATACTGTTCCTTGTAAGTATGTCTAGGTCAAGTTCATGTGCCCCCTCCCCTTCATTATTGGATGAAATAATGACAGCAGACCTAGAAATGGTAGCTGAAATCTGTCTCCCCCCCCCCCCCCAAGTCGTTCACTGGGTCTTGTTTTTCTCCAAAACTCCCTCGCTGTTCTTGTTATGGTATCTAATGCTGAAGGAATGTGGGAGTTCACAGACAGGGGGGGGGGACATTAAACAGGCTCACAGGCACTGCTACCACTTTACAGCCTGTGTCAAGAAGAAAAGAGGGAGGGAGTTTCAAAGGAAGGAAGGGTGTGTTGCTAATGGGGGGCAGAGGGGTGCATGTTGCTGTTGCTTTTTGTTGTGTTTTTTGTTTCTGGTTCATCTGGAGTTTGTAGAAGTTGATCCCGCTCCTAGCCATTTAGCCTCATGTCTAAAAGTTCCCTGGGAGCAGTGGGAGAGGAGGCGGGGCTTAAGGGCCAGGCACAGAGCAATGGGCCTCCTGGGAGTAACTGTGTATATAATGGGTTGGACAGGGAACTGGTCCAGAGGAAAAGGAGTGGCTGAGAAGCTTGTGCCTTCGTTTCTGACACTTGTGGAGATCCGCTGCAGAGCACACAATGTCTCAGGTAAGGTGTGTTTGTGTTCTCTGGGAAAGGCAGGACTAATGTCACTTTAGTTTACAGATGCATATATATGCATTCAAGTAACCACTTTATTAGGTACGCCTGTTTTCTAATGCAGCCTGCTCTTCTAAATAAACTATGTGGCTTCAACTGAATACATATAGAACACAGACATGTTCAAAGTTCATTTACTGACTAAAGATTGAAATGACTAAGTCGCGTGATCTAAGTGATTTTGAACATGGTGTGGTTGTTGGCACCAGACGTGGTGGTTCCCAAATCTGTGTCGACAGTTTACAGAGAATCTTGTGATGAACGAAATACATTCAGAAGTCAGGGGAGAACAGCCCAACTCGGTAAAGTAAACAGGAAGACCACAAGTGCAAAAATGAGAGCCCAATACATTTGTGGTGTGTAGAACTGGTCTACTCTTTAAATTGTTATGAAATGGTGAAAGTGGATCCTTCCTAGTACAAGCCAGGGGCCACTGTGTGTATTTTATTTATTTGGAATTAATAGGACCCTAAGAGGCTTGTGAAACAAATATGTTATTGCAGAGGAAAATTCTGAGTCCCCAGACAAAATGGCACCAACTTTCACTTTCTGAAGAAACACTCGATTATAATGTGGCCCTTTTTGCCAGTGCTGGACATTCTGAATTTGCCAGGGTATCCAGGCCCCCTACAGCCCCTCTGGTTACTGAAATGATAGAATAGTGATGTTCCAGTGAAAGAGATTGGGGCAGTATTGACGATTTGTCTCTATTACCTACCCTACCAAGCCCGACGACCAGCTGGAAAAGCAGAATCGGCCGGTGATGAGGGAAGAGGACCTGATTGGAGCCCGTGAGACTCTGGGGTCAAAGGATCCACTGAGGAGCAAGACTTTTGAAGTCATGGATGAGTGTGGTGAGTTCATTTTGTGACCACCATTTGAAATATGTGATATCACCGTTATTTACACTAGAGTTCGATTTTCCATTAACGCCAGCTAGCTAGTCAGCAGCCAGATACCCTGTGCTGCCGAAGTGTTTTTAACATAAATGAACAGACCGATTTTATTTTTTGCTGGGGGGGGGGGGACTCTTCCCTAAGGCGTCAGACCACCCAGGGCCCAATGTGGTTCATTTACATGTTTGTCTTATTTTGAATTTAAATTTTTAGACTTTCTATTAGTTTTTCTATCAGTTTTTAACTGACCAGTTGTTTTTACAAACATGTGGTAGAGTCACTCGCTGTATTCATTCCCCTGTAAGCCGACCAGCTGCCGTTGCATGTCAGAGAGGTTCCTTACCTGCCACCCTATTGATCTCCAGAGCGAGCCGGCAAAGCTGCGCCCTCCGTCTTCAGTGCTGTGCGCTCCGGAGCGGAGACCGCCCTCCAGAAGCCGCCGGCTCACAGGAAGAAGACTTGATCGAGGGATGTGAACATTGTTGCAGCAATCTTGGAAATCGAAAAACAAGTGGAGTTAATCATTTCCCTTTTTCGTTTTCTGATTGATTCTTTTTTCATAATTTTTTTGATTCAGCGGATTCAGTATAACCTATAATTCTTACTTTTCCATTTGCTCACAGCGGAGTTTTATGAACGTGTTCCCATTAGGTATCATCCCCAAGGGCGCTGCAGTGACGAACTTTGGCTGCTAATGTCAGGTGTAAGTCCGCCCTCTTTCCCTATAAGGAGCGCAAAGCCTTGTTCACTCTTTACCTGAACTATTTGCACACATGCAAAAGAAAAAAGCGAAGCTCTTTTAGCTACTTAACAAAAATGGGTTTTGATTCATTTTTTATTAGTTTTATGACAGCTGACTCCAGTGTTGCCAACACTCATGCATCAGGCGTAACACTCACGCTTTCTGTCTTTCACGGTCGTGTAAGAAATCTTAAGGCAAATCTATATTTTTCCATTATAAACCTAAAATTAGCTGCATCAAAAGCATTGTGATAGTTTGCAAACCTAACAGACTATTTACAAGGTAATAAAACTGTTACATACGTGTAAATGTGTGTGCACACTTGTTTCGAACTGAACATCTCACGCCAAACTTTTCCAACACCATTTTAACCTGCTATGTGCACAATCGCTTATTTTTGTTTCACATTATGTATAGATTGAAACATAGAGGGTAACGAACCACTGTTTACACAATCATGTCTTATAATGTTTTGTGAATAAATGTTTAAATACAGTCATGCGAACCCGGTATGTTTGTTGGCAATTACTGTGGAGTTAAGCACCACTCTCCTAATGATCAACCAGTGTATTTAATCACAGTGTAGAATGCAGAGCTGTGCTGAAGTCAGTGGAGCGCTAGAGGGCAGAGTGGAGCTGCAATGTTTGAGCCAGCAAGTGATAATTTTTGGGCTTTGCAGCCCCATGTCTGTTATGGGTCTTATCAGCATTGCCTGTTCCAGGATCTGATTTTTAATAATGTTGTTATGATGGTCATGTGTAAACTTATTCTGTTATAATGATACATACATGGTTATTACCATGTTTTGTTAATGATTATAAAACATTTCTGAGATTTCATGCTAAATTCTTGGCACAATTGATTTTGCCCTCATTGCACAAGCTTTAAACAGAAACGGTGTGTCAACACATAAGTAAAAATTCTCCATTTTATTACCTTAAATTCCAACAGTGTGATTGTGTTACATGAGCACTGCATGATGCCTGAGATGTCAAACACCTTGTACCTTAATAAATTTAATTACTTAAATTTCATTAAATTACAGTCTTGTGGCCATTCAGTTTGCATTTGGTGTCTATGCACTGTGTGCACGATTATTAGGCAAGTTGTATTTTTGAGGATTAATTTTAATATGGATCAAATACAGTGCTATCAGTTAGTCCAAAATTCATATGGCAAAATTATTTTACAATTACTAATGTGCAGAATTATTATGCAACTAAAGGAAAAATGAAAAATTTACCCTCACTTGTATATTCTCACCTATAAAGTGAAAATTATAACTCAAAATTTACAAATAAAAATGTCTGACATTAAAAAAAAATCTGTGAGCAGTACAGCCACCCTTCTTTTCAACTACAGTCATAAGCCTTCCATTCATGGAGTCTCTCAGTTTCTGGATCTGTTGACGATCAACTTTTTTCTGCAGTAGCAACCACAGCCTCCCAGACACTGTTCAGAGAGCTGTTCTGTTTTCCTTCCCTGTAAATCTTCTGTTTAAGAGCCCACAATTTATCAATAGGGTTTAGGTCAGGTGAGGATTATTCTTTCAACTTTAAGACCTTTACTGGCTAGCCACGCAGTATAGTACTTTGATGCATGCGACGGAACATTGTCCTGCATAAAAATCATGCTCTTCTTGGAGGATGCAGACTTTTTCCTGTACCACTGCTTGAAGAAAGTGTCTTCTAAAAATAGGCAGTAGGTTTGAGAGTTGATTTTGAATCCATCTTCAACCCGAAAAGGTCCAACTAGCTCATCTTTAATAATACCAGCCCATACCAGTACGCCAGCTCCACCTTGCTGGTGTCTGAGTCGACGTGGAGCTCTGTGCCATTACTGATCCAGCCACAGGCCCATCCATCTGGTCCATCAAGAGTCACTCTCATCTCATCAGTCCCTAAAACCTTTGAGAAATCTGTCTTCAGATATTTCTTGGCCCAGTCTTGATGTTTCAACTTATGTGTCTTGTTCAGTGGTGGTCAGGTTTCAGCCTCCCTTACCTTGGCCATGTCTCTGAGCACCGAACACCTTGTACTTCTGTGTGCTTCAGGTAGGTTACAGTTCTGGAATATGGCAGCACTGGAGGATAATGGGCTTCTGGTAGCTTCACGTTTGATTCTTTTCAAATATTTGGCAGTTAATTTGCGTCTTTTTGTCTCTACACATTTCTTGTGACCCTGTTATGTATTTGCAACAAATGTTTGATGGTTCTGTGATCACAGCCCTGTATCTTAGCAATTTCAAGAGTGCTACATCCCTCTGAAAGACTGTTTACAACTTTTGACTTTTCAGAGTCAGTCAGAACTTTTTGGCCCATTTTGCCTGAGGACAAGCTGCCTAATAATTATGCACACCTTGATATCGGGTGTTGATCTCCTTAGGACACACCCTCCCTCATTACACAAATACACATCACCGGATATGCTTAACTCCAATAAGCATTCAAGGTTATACAGCTTGGAGTTGGAATATATGCATAAAAAATGATGATACGGTCAAAATTCTCACTTGCCTAATAACTGTGCACACAGTGTATTGTATGGTGTCTACATCATATCTGGGTAGGTAAAAAGGGTGGATGGAGATCAATCAGGTGACAAGTACTAGGAGATGAATAAACTGGTGTAGACTGAGAACACATACATCTTCTACTGAAGAGGAAAACAGCTGCAGTACCACGGACTACGATACTCACAGCAAGAACATAAGAGACACCACATCTGTTTTTTTTTTTTTTTTGAAATGGCAAATCAGTTTATTCACATTTCAGGAGATTTATCAAACGCATCCAAAAATAAAATTTAATAATATGATACAACTTACTAGCCTGCAAAAAGCATTGGGTGCAGAGCCAGAAGTAGCCACTAATGGTGAGAAGGAGCAGAGAAATGAAAGGATGATGGAGGGAGGAATATAGGAAGGCAGGGAAAGAGGAGGCCAGTTATTTCATGAACTTGTCATGTTGGTCTTGCAGGATCTTAGCGGAGGACTTGGCGTCATAGAAGAGCTCGTTAATCTCCTCCACCTGTTCCCTCTCCACGGTCTCCTTGCCCTGGACACGGCTGAGTAGGCTGGCTGGGGTCAGCAGCTGTACAGCGTACCTGAGTGCACATGGGGGAAAATCATACTCGATGAATATATACAAATGGAGGCATGGGACTGTGTCCTGGTGAGGAAGGAGTTAAACGGAGGGAACTGAAGAGTGGAGGATGATGGGAGCCGTGAATCCTAACTCACCTCAGTGTGGTTTTGGTGCCGATCTCTCCCAGGTGAGTTAGGGCCTCCTCGCTGATCATGATGCCCTCTGTCTGAGCCCGGATCTTAATGATCTACAGACACAGGAAGCGTCTTGTCACTCTGAGTGCACAACCCTGGCCACCAGACAACCAGATACCTCAGATGAACACTGAAGCAGGGGGGGGGGAGAATGGAAGGGGGTGCGGTAGGGGCGTGACACCTGTTTCATCTCTTGAGGTGTATATAGCATGGTGCGAATGATCATCACTCTGTCCAGCAGGTCTAGGGGAATGCCGTGTGGGGAGGAGATATCCTCTGTGCCCCTGAAAGAAGAACAGAGAGTCAGCGGGTAACTCTGCGCTCAGGGCCAGGTGTCGTCAAAGAGAAGCAGCTCACTGATATCAGAGAAGAGGCTCACCTGACGAGGCAGTTTCCGCGATTGGAGGCAAACACCACGATGGGAGAGATGGAGCTCTCCAGGGCTCGGTGCAGGTAGGTGAAGCATTCGATGTCCAGCATGTGCACCTCATCCACGAAAAGCACGCCGGGCACCAGCTCTGCCACGCCCTGGTCGATGTAGCGGTTCACCACCTTGTTGATCTCACTGCGCAGCTTGTCTGAAGGAGGAGAGCCGAAGAAACCATGTGATACATCGCTCCTGACTAAGGAGGTCAAGCAGACAGACGACGCCATTATGGCTCAGGCCCACCTGTGATCTCAGTCTTCTTGGGCTTCATCAGCTGGCCCATCATTGACAAGATATCCTGACCCCCCTACAATGAAACGCATGTGGTTTAGTAATTACACAACATTGGGACAGCAGCTCTGGAGGATGTGCAATACTGTGCAAAAATCTTAGGCTTTTACACCAACTCATGTTGGTGTGAAACTGTGCTATTGTGCCTGTCAAAGCTTAGCTATTTCAAAACCTCTCCTAAAGTCACCCCAGTATTTACGGCAACCATGTAATACCCTGATGTGTTTGTTGACTTGACCACTAACACACCTTGTTTGGCTAATCAATATCTCTTCAAAATATTTAACTATTTAAGTTAATTAATTAATTGAACTGGTGGTAAAAATGAACAAATACATGGAATGGTTGGGTCTGGGAACTGACTGATGGTTGAGGTCGGGTCTGGGAACTGAAGTGGTGTTCGTCTAGCCGTCCAACAAGATATTAGTAACTTTTTGGAGAACAGAAGAAATTCCTTTTATTGTGTTGCTGTTAATTTGTACATGTTAAATTGCTGTTTCTGAGCACATATACGCTGACTACCCAAATAAATAGACTTCAACATTTTCTTAGACGGCCTAAGACTTTTACACAGTATTGTATGCGAGTAAAATATCAGTCTGCATTTTAGAACCCTGAAACTACCGTGGCCGTCCAGAGTGAGCAACCTGCATCAGTGTAACCTTTCATTGCTGTGGGAACCTGAGAGGCCGGGAGGCCAAAGCGAGCTGTACCTGAGGTCGGGCGTTGGCTACATCCAGGTCATGCAGCGTGACGTCCTGGATGATCTCCTTCTTCTTGTGCACGTCCCCTTTGGGCAGTGGTACGTACTCCTCTGCCTCCAGGTCAAACTCTGTGGCGAAGGTGTCACAGCGGCCTTGCCTCTGAGGAGGGACAGAGCACGTGAGTCAACCACCATTCACTACCCATTCACCACCGCGGTGAGCGGTCTATAGGCAACTGAATCAAGTCAAAACCAGTGCAGCCAAAGTGTTTCAGACATTTCTCCCGTAATCCTCACAAGCAACCATTTATTGAACTTCTCCCACCACATTACATCACCACCATAATTTATTATTTATACTATTATAACTTAAATCTAATCCCAGCAGCCATTGCTGACACACAATAGGTTTTTCTCCAATTCAAAGTAGCATCTGTATTGTAAATCTTTCAGGAAACGATCAAATGATCTTATAAGCAATTCTTAAGAAGCATTTCCTGCACTACTACATATGTAATGCAAGAAAATTCCTGTAATTTCGACTTTAATACCTGTAATTTTACTGAGAAAATGTCAGACAAGGTCAAAGATCATCAGCTCCAGTCTTCACAGTGTTACAGGTTTTCACTCAAACTGTTACTCGATTCATTGTGGACTGCAAGTCACCTCATCTGGCTACCCAGAAGTAAACCTGGCACTAATAAATTAACTGGTTATGGACGCCTGGTCAAAGCGAAAGGCTGATTGGCTTCTTCGCTAGCAGCCGACCCGTAGCTGTAGATATGTGAGGGGTGCCGGCTCAGTGTCTGACAGCATGCGGACTCCGGAGGAGGGGGAGAGAATGAAAGTGGACAGAGGGAAGTTGTAACAGGGCTGTCAACAGCAACAAATGTAAGGGGGCCTCCTTCTCCTTCAAGCCTCCTACACAGCACTCGGCCACCTGCGCTGATTAAAGGGCCTGTCGACACGCTTTTCAACGGGCGTCACGGGGGAACGCGGCAAGAAGAAAGAGCCGGCCGGCCAGATGAGGAGATAGGGGGAATGAAGCCGGGCAATGAAAAACGAAGGAATGAGGGAGCCGTTCCAGAGCACAACAGCGGGCTCAGAAATTCAAAAAAAAAAAAAAGTAAAAAAGGGAAAGATAGGAACGCGTCAGCATCTACACAGGCCGGGATGTGTCCGGAGAGAGACGAGGCTGAAAGCGAGAGCGCTGTGTGACCTGGGCACATCACACCATGTGGGGTGTGATTCGGGGAGCACAGGTGGCGCACGGCCTACACACAATACCCCTACTGTACAGGGGGGCGCGGCAGACTCCCCGCACACGTGACCAAACACAGAAATACACTGTTCAGTCCGACAGACGGAACGCACTATAACATTTATACTTTTGGACAGAGTGTGTGGATGCGCCGCATGCCGCATGTTCTGCGCCAAGCCTGCGAGTAGCATGTATGTACGGTGCAGGTTTTCCCCTACCTTTACCGCTCCGCTGTTCGCTTCGATATAAATGACATCGCCGACCTCGACCCGCTCCTTCTGCAAGCTTTCATAGATGCTGGGATCCAGCTGTAGGGAAAACAGCATCAAACGGAAGTACCTGTGTTAAACTCAGGGGAACGGTTTCCTTGACTTGCGTTTTATTTATTTAGCAGATGCCGTTAACCAACGTGACAGATCCTGGAGCGATTTGGGGTTCAAGGCCCTGTGGTTGAAATCAGTCTGCTAGCCCTGGTATTCGAACCCGCGACCTTCTGATCACAGGTGCAGCCTCCTAACCCCCGGAACCACACACCTCCTCCATCAAGGATCACATCTCTAATCATGTGAAGTACGACTCTTCACCGAACCTTGAGCTGCTTGGTGCCCTTGGCGGTCTTGAGTCCAATGACGACATGGCTGATGGTCTTTCCGTAGCCCCCCATGGGATTCTCGGTCTCGCACGGAGTCAGCTCCGTCACCTCGCCCTCGTACACCTCCTTGGTCTCCTTGATGCGCAGCCCTGACAGGCAGAAGGGAGCAAAACGAGGACAATAAATGGACACAAACGGAAACGTATAAAATGGGGTCACTGAGTGTCACTTTTATACTTTTCAACCAGATTCAGAAATTACCTTATGGCCCCTTAATCAAAGTATAGTAAATATTGAGCGTTAGCAGCACTGCACGTCAAAGGTGAAAACGTGGCAAATACCCCATTATCATGGGCATTATATCCCAGTCCCTGCCTGGTCAGCAATGAAGGACGACCTCCCCTCGGAAACACACACAGCCCTGTGCAGCACAGACGCTTGATCTGTCTGCAAAAGCTCCACTTCCACACACATGACAGGTCACATCAACACCCACAAAGCTGACCATTATTCTCCCCTTAGATTATTACATCCCCCACAGTCACTCCCTCTTTGACCAATCGGTAGAGTGTAGAAAAACAACATGACAGACATTCCCTGTGACCAAAAGGAGGAAGCATTATTAAATCTCCTCCTACCCCCGTTTCTGATGAACCCTAAATCCCTCCACCTCCTCGCTCCCAAAATTCTAACCATGGCTGCATTTTTTCATCATCGTGAGGAACTCAACTCCTGTCACCTACCAATAGCCCTTCGGAAGTTCTCCATCAGCACCTCGGTCTTCTTGATCTCAGAGGAGTAGACTTCGCTGCCGACCATTGGGCAAAACGGCACCTTGTTGCCCAGCTCCTGTGCCATAGCCAGAGCTAAGGCTGTCTGGAGTATCAGAAGACAGTCATGACCGTTGCCGTCAGCTCAGCGACAGACACAAGCCAAGTGTTTCAATACCACATCACATATCCATAGATGTGTCAAAAAGCCATATATTATTATTAACTCCCCAGGTAAAGGTAATAAAATGTTCACCTTGCCAGTTCCAGGAGGTCCTGCAAGTAAAACTGCCCTCCCTGCCATCTTCTTTGAACGGATCAGGTCCACGATAATACCACAGGCCTGGAATACAGACAACAGGGATTCTGTCAGCCATGGTGTGTTGGTTACAAGGGTGTAACAGCAAGATCTGTGACAATATGAAACATTACAATGCAGCCACATCCAGTGTCATTGTAAGGATTGTTCACATTTCCATTATGCACATGTAATATATATTGGAAACGTGACATCAAAATTCCAACAGTACACTGCTATTAATTACTCCATTTATCGGTATTTTTATTAAAATATTAGCATAATACAACTACCGCGGCTGCTACTACTACTACTACTACTACAAATAATAATAACAACAATAATAGTAATGATAATAATAAAGCAACGTTATATACTTCCGTCACAAAACATTTAAGTTGATACGAAGAAGCGTGTCTAATATCCTTATCACTAGTACAGGCGCACAGCATATGCCCTCCCAGTCCCCTGCCCCTTCCCCTTCCCAGCACATTACACCCATCGGGCTGTTTACCTCTCTGGCCGTCTCCTGCCCCACCAGACCGGACGCGGACTGCTTGGCGTTGCCGGCCTCATCCAGCCCGAGCCCCTTAATGTGGCTATGTGATGCGATGCGCTGGGTCTTAGTGGTACTTTTCACCTCTTCGATCTTCATGGTTGCTCTTTAAGACGTTTAGGGATATTTAAGAATAATTTAAAGGTAACACTATATATCTAAATTCTCCTTATCTGTCCAAAAACCTCACTTCACCGTTACAAAAATACGTGCCTGAAACACACTTTAGCGCGTTTCCATGTGGTTACTAGGGAAATAGAGGAAATCCCGCCTTACACCTTTCTTTTGAAATCCATTGGCTAATGCTTCGCCAAGCGGCCAAGTGATTGGATAGTGCCGTATCCATCCAACGATATATTCTGAGGTTAATTTCCGCTAGTGTTTCTAACATAACTGACTTTAGGGAAACACTACTTTATTTCCTCGCAGCCTCAGTGTACGAGTTACAAATTATTTTATTGCAATTAAAATGTATATTATTCCTGATACGACATAGTTTATTTATTTCAGATATAATAGCAATGCGATTGCTTTTTTTTGTTTCCCAGCATATTGGTCATAGATAATTTAACCGATATTTTATGACATTTGGAAAATAACCCCCTCACTTGAACGCATGTTAGGAGGGCCAATGTTCGTATATAAAAATAAAAAGGTCTTATTTACTGACTATTTGGAAATGTTTTACATAAGGACCTTATTTCTGTTGCACCGGAAATACGACCATTTTCTCTGAACTGTGAAGTTTGCTGTTTATTTGAGTTCGGTACGGATTTGGGTGACAAACTGAAATTACCCTAAAATGCGCGTTATATATTAAAATGAGGCTCCGGTGGTTTATTTAGTGACTCTGAACAAACAGTTGATCTTGTCATCAGATAACGGACTGTAAAGATATAAAACGATAAAGGCCCATGTTTAGGGAAAATGTAACGTATAATTAAACTTCTGTGACCGACTTGCTAGAGCGTCACATCAAACTGAAAGAACGAAGTGGACAAATATTGAAAGGGAAGATACCGGTCTGATACTGTTATAGAAACTTAACACACGGGTGTTAATAGCACGTCACCTTCATTTAAGGCATCGTCGCGTTACTACAAACAGTACAGATTCTGGCTCTTTGGAAAAGGTTGTATATTTGTTATTGTACAGCTGCAAACTAAACTAAGAAGTGGCAGTGCGGTACTTTATTTACAGACAGGATGACGACCCACATGATCGTTAAATGGAGATCTAGCTGTTACGTCCTGGCTGACGAGCTTCTGTAAATATTAGTTATTAATCTTAAGATGACTATGCAAGTGTTTATAACACCACGGAGCACTAATGGCCTTGTGCATTTAATGACAGATATTAACCTCAAAGTAAATGCGGCTGCTAAACAGAAATAAAAAACGCATAATGTTTTTTTCTCTCTGTGTGAGCTAGTAGAAGCCCCTGTACACCCAGCAGATGGCGACAACTGAATATATTGGATTTTACTGTTCGGCCCTTCAAAAGGGCCGTTATTCTTACTGATAAAAAAAATTGAATTCAAAATGAGATTAAAATATCCATGACGAATTTCTGTAAATTTAAATAAAACGAGACCTTAACTTAATGGTCCTTTGTTCTTCAGGGGATATAAAAAATACTGTTATGTATATATTCCATGCTTATAAATTAAAGATGTAAATGCGGGAATCTCTAATCATTTATTTACGTATTTTACGGGGAGTCACTGAGGCAGCCGCTTTGCTGAAAAGACGGGAGGGGCAGGTGGGGTTACGTGAACCACGGAAAGGAAGGGAAAGTGGGGCGACCAAACAGGAAAGAGAGGAGCGCAGTGAGCCCTGAGGGAGCAGAAGCACTTCCTCACCGGCAGAGCCCTGCAAATTCAATCCTCCTTCTCCCCTCGCCCCTTCCTGCCGCTGCAGAGCTCGCCTGCCCCTGTTTAATCCACTCTTATTATTTTTATTAATGTCAGGAATAGACAATATATCCTGTAAGGGGAGAAGCATAGGCGAAGGCGCAGACTGAGAGCAAGGGGGGGTGGGGGGATGCGATGAAAGAGAAGAAAAACTGAGAAGTGGACAGAGAAGTGGCTGAGTGCAGGCGGCCGCTGAAGTGTGAATGGCTGCCTGTTACTCTGCATGGCACATGATGTTGATTAAAGCGAGGAAGCCGAGGCTGGAGCTCTTGGGCTCGGGGCCTGTAATACACTTCCTTTGGCGTCCCCGATGGGAAGTGTACAGGAAGGAGAGATTGCCAGCGAAGGAGAGCCGGCGGAAAGACATCCAAGGGAGCTTGCTCTCTTTTTCTGCTGCATTTTCCCCTTTTTTCCACTATTCTGTTGGGGTTTGGCACTCTTGCCCTACAGCCCCTTTAGTCATCAGTTCATTCTCTCCCTGTCACTTAGACTCCCCAGCATAACTGATTTCTTAGCCCTAATTGCAGGTTTCAGTTGACACATGCCCTTGAATGACAAAAGTGATTTACTTAAAGTAAATGTGTTGTAACACATCATCCAGTTAAACGGGGTTTTTGAGCCCCAGACTTCGGCTTCCCCTGGGAGTACAGGCTGTGATTGAGTTGTGCAGTGGGATGGAAGTAGGTGGTCCAAACCTGGCTCTGTGACCTGAACTGTGGACGCCGCCAACTGGGGACATTTCCAAGAAGCACTTGGATTTCTGCTGTGAAAGTGTTGCTTGCAGTGTGTCTCTCATTCAGTATCACTGTGATATGATTACTCTGTATGTCCCCTTCCTCAGTGTATAGATATTGGCCCAATTAGTATGTTTTTCTGGTAAACACAAAGAATGCTCGATATCATTTTATGTTCACTCTGTGTGCAAGGGTTACTAATTTCAGTAAGACCGTATTCATTTGTGTGTGTGTGTGTGTTGGGGGTGGCAGTAACAGTGGAATTAGGAACTGCTTATTGTAACTGTATTCCTAGCTGAAAGACATTCCAGTCAGTTCCAAAGGCATACAGTATTTATCTCAAAACTCCTGCAGTTTGTGACATTCTGTTTTCATTAAATGAATGGTTTAGCATGACTGCTGAACTAGTTTTTAACTGAAGTTTATGTTTTTCTTGGGTACACCATTGTTGGGGCTGGGAATGGAAACTAGCTGGCGTCAGTTCTGGATAAATAGTACTGTTGTCACAAGTATTTGGCATCCTTGTTCTCTACTTCTAAATGCATGTTTCTGAGCACTGATTAGTAAAGTGTGTGTGTGTGTGTGTGTGTAGATTATGTGGGTTGGGGTTAAGTTTGTCATGTTGGGATTAGAGTTTTTCCCATAGAAATGAATGGAGAGTCCCCACAAAGATGTAATTACAAACCTGTGTGTGTACACATGAGCTTATGAGTGAGTTCCCATTTCGATTAAGAGTGCTGAGGACATGTTTTCTAATGGACCAAAGGCATGAGCTCTAACTCTGGTCTTGTCGGAAGTTCAGGAGTTGACTAGAACTTTGAGTCAGGGTGAGGAGGAGGTGGAGGAATCTGTGTGTGTTAAAGCAAGAGAGAGAGCTGGGGGTGCAGAACTAATTCAGACCAGATGCAGTCCTACAGACACACAGGACAGTTGACATTAAGGAGCAAAGTCAGTTTGTCTGTTTTCGGGCGTCTCCATATCAAAGTCTTCCCTGCTAGAGTAACCAACAGGCTATGATTCTGGGAGTATGTCACTGAGTCGACACGAAGCTTCTTCAAGTGTCTTGCACTAACCGTTCACCACAGGGGGAAGACCCAGATATTCCTGACCGTTTGTGCAAGTAAAATTGCACTTGTGGACCACCGGGTGGCAGCAAAAGTCTTGAAATTAAGTTCTTTGGTTTTCGATAGCTCGAGTTACTCTATACAGTAAAAGAACACAGGCTTAGAGCACAACTCTGTGAAATTCAGTAAAACCTTACTAATCTTTATAAAGCTATATATTATAAATCGTGGTCTGTAGATATGTAGATAAGGGTGACAGTGTATGTTCTTGGGTATAAGTGTGCGCACACTGCTTGGTGCCAATACCACAGGTGTGCCGGTGAGAAAGCATCCAGGTCTATGGAACCGTTATCACCTTACTTAGGTAACGGGTTGCCAAGGACCAGCCCTCTAATCCCCACAGATAAACCTCCGCTTGGTCAAGTAACAAAGTATGAGCGCGTAACTTTACGTGTACGTGAGCGCGCTCTCCAGGCATGCGCATGCTAACGCGGATCCCCGGCGGATCTGCGGATACGTGCCGCGTGCGGGCGCCCGTCTCTCCCACGCGGCATTTACACGTAAGCATGCATGTCCACACATGTGCGTCCGCTTCGGATGGGGGGGGGGGTCAACTTTAAAGCCCCGGGCACTTTCGGGACAAACTTTAGAGCAGGAGCACCCATGCTAAATCGAAATCCATGCAGTGTTTATTCTGATTACAAGTACTCTTTGTCTTGTAAACATATGGGGTAAATCTCAATACTCCATATGGCACACTTACTCATGCAGGTAAATATGTACAGTGTGTTCCTTGTTTATTTCCATGTAGCTGGCTGAATTATTCCACCAGAAATATAGTAATAGAATAATTAAGCATTATAAATTGTGCTAATGCTGTAAAACTGGCTCCAGAACTAGTGAATAGAACAAACATTCCTGTAAATAAAAAAATTAAACCACTGAATATTTAATCACTTTATTTTACTTTTTGAAACAGATGGTAACTTTAAAAAATGTTTTTATAATATTATAACCACGTGTATCATATTTTATTATGCTACAGTAAAGCATTTAGGAAAATTTTGCGGACCCAATAGTACGTAAAACACGGTCGGCAGAAGGTCCTGTGAAAACGCTGCCAGCTTTGATAAAGTCCAAACAGGAATTCAATTAGCTGGGTCCTGTAACATGTCTTGGCATAGAAATGAGGCTTTGTGGGAGGTAGCTTAGCCTCCGAGTCCTGATCAGGCGTGGAGAGTTTATTAATTACTTCAGTGCCAAGCGGCTCGGCCAGTCTAGCTACTCCTCCACCTGCTTAGCTTTGTTGTGATGTATGATTTATAGATAGGGTTTGTTTTAAGGAGAGCAGCAAAAATTTGAGCTAGGACCCAAACATGCTGATGTTGC